TCACAATTTCATAAATTAATAAATATCTAAAATAATAAATTAAATTTGAAGATTAACTTATATTTTAATTTAAGTATTTTTGTTTATATTTATAATTATCATGTTTTTGTTTCATTGAAAAAAATCATAATATTATGGTTAGGGCTGCAACGAACTTTTCTTGATATAAATATAATAAATTTTTGTATTTTTTTTATTTACAGGATTAAAATAAACTGTTTATTAATTTATCAATAAATTAATAAATTTTTGGATACCTGAATGTATTAATTTGTAGATGTTTTACTGTAAATAGATCAGGGTATCTAGAATATGATTAAATGATATCCCTCGCGCCAAATAATGACGTCAAATAAATGTTAACTTTTCTTTTGTTTTATGTATAGTGTGGATGTCCACTGTTTCTAGATTGTAAAATAAATATTCAAACGTTATGTGAATGCGCGTAAAATTGATTTTCGATTAACGTTAATATACGGTAGGCAGTTGTGGGAATTGTGACACAATAATATCTAAGTTCCAAAAGCATTGATTTTGATTAATTTCTTTGTCTTCTTTATAGTAATCGAAAGGGACACATACATCCATTTCTTTTTTTTCTTTTTTTCTTTTTTTTTCCCTTTTGTACAGTTTCATCTCAACATCATTGACCTCAAAAAAATTTGCTGAAGAAAAGACTCGTAAAAATCTTCCGAACTCCAAAAAATGTGGCCTTAATTAGGTCTGGCTAGGCCACACTCTTGAGTTGCAATTATATAATTACATAATTTAAGTTTGTAAAGAAAATAATTCGTACTTCATTTCTCAGGAAAAAAATCATGTTTTCTGAAATAAAACAGTTTGATAAACGAATATGAATTTTTTTTTTTTTTTTGCACGAAAAGAGTAAGAATTTAGAATAAACTTTTGACATTTTAAGAACCGGATAGGGTGCGATTTGATGAAACAATGTTATTATTATATTGAGTTGAGAGGATCATATGGTTTGAAATTTGAATGTCATTTAAAAGAAAATGCAACACTATTGGTTTTTTTTTTTTTTTCATTGTTAGGAAAAAATATTCATATACTTTTTCTCAAAATTCAGAAAAAAGAAAAAGGATCCAAATATTTAACTTATACAACCTCCAGCGTTAGAAGACAACATCTCATTATTTTGTGAAAGACATAAATAATTTCTTAACTGCATTTTAATATATGTGTCCACTCTTGAAATTGTTGGTAGCTTAAAGTTTAGAACACATGAACGCTCAAAGGTTGGCACTATTATTACTGCTAATTTGGGGATACCTTCGAGATTTATTTAACCGAAAACAAAAATGTAACTATCTAAGAATGTAACTATCTAGGCATTTGTTTCCTTCTTTGTAAAAAAAGAAAAATGTAAATTTTAATGTAATTATTTGATTGCTCATTTAATTTGAGGCAAACGAAGACCTGGATATACATAACAGGATAACTCTGTCAGGACCCCCATGACATTTATTGTTAATAATATGCCCTCATATAAAACTTTCCAGGAAACTTCCTCATACTAATAATTAAGAGATATCTAATTAATTAACACTAATGTCCTTACTTAAATATCAAGTGGAGCCCCATACATATGATAACTAGTGATAACTAGTGATATATCCTTATCCGGATCTAAAATCCGGAACATGATATGTCCAACATTGACTAGGATGGATTCAGTGACGCCTCAACATCTTTAGGGGTGTAAAGCGAGTTTCAAATTACAGGCCTTTTTTGTATTTTCAGAAGCCTAAAATAATTACCTAAGCCTTTTACATTTACTAGAGATGGCAAAAATCTGAAGAACTATATTCATATATCTGGTAAATGAGAAATATTAACTACATAATGCTCTAACCACAATTTAATATAATTGTTAAATCACTGTTTTCGTCATTTTGTTATTAATATGTTGATAACATAATGAGACTACATGTAATTAATCTACTATTAGTTACGAGGGTAACATTAATAACAAATAGGGATCGAAAGAGAATACTATGAGATATTTTGGAAAAAAAAAAAGAGTTGACAATGGATATATTTATGATTCTTTTGTTAAACATGCATAGATATTATGAAAATCAATCTTAAGAATACGATTATAATTTGGTTGCATTCTTATTATAAAAAAAAAATTAGACATGAATAAAGAGGATCAAAGGAGTGATAAAATTAATTATTTATGATTATTGATTACTTAAAACAAAAACTAAGTAAAAAAAATTGAATTTGGGGACCTAGGGCAAACCGGGGCTAAAGCCCTTGCTTTACTAGCTTTGCCCTTGAGCCGGCACTGGATAGATTTGTATAGATTTATCAAACAAAATAGTGTGATTGTAATAGAAGATATAATAAAAGTTGTGAGTTGTATTTTAGACTATTTTTTTGTAATGTCAAACGTAATTGGACGATTTCCAACAAATTAATGAAAATATATTTTTTTCTCAAATATATATATATATATATATATATATATATCAAGTCGAGCCCTATAACTGTTAAAATCAGGTGAGATGATTTATCACGGTGTTGCTCCTCGTCGTTGATAGAAATGAGACAAGATTAATAATAATAAAAGAAAAGTGATAAAGAAAAAGAATCTCATTGCCTGCTTAACATGAAGCGGCCAACAAATTAAACAAGATTAATATCTTCTTGGCTATAAATTAGACATTTGTTTTTGTGTCATTCGGACCAGACAACCTAAATAATGCAAATGGCAACAAACGGATTTCTTTTCAAATGAGGGGGTCCAAAGTTGATTGTCAGAAGCATATTTCATTTTGTCTATTCATATGAAAAGGGCCCATATGCATTTAGGTTCGATTCCATGGTTATATCTATCTGAAATATGTTACTTCTCGATTTGATTTTAGTTTGGATAGTGGATTTGGATACCAATTACTTCATTTGTTTTCACTCTTGAAGATTATCACTTAAGCAATAGCTAAAATGGAGAGTTTTTCATGACTTGTTTCACAATTTAAGGCATCGTCTCGATCTCGAATCTTTACTACTAGTTGGCCTCTTTGCCAATGAGATCTATATTTATTTCATGGACAAATTTCTTTCCGATTTCTTAACTAGAAATTCTTACTATCCTTATTTGAGAATACATATAATTATTGTATATCTTGTTGATTTGTTTTGCAATAATATACTTGTTAGGACAAAATTATACTCTACGAGTTTCATAATTTTAGTCTACACTGTGAATCGATTTACAATGTGAACTATTTTTATAAGATAAATAATCAGATGGAGGAAGAAATTCGTAGTAAACAGCACCTACTCGGCCTACTAAGAAAATGTAATTTGAGTAAAATTTTATAGTTTAATAGCATTTTTTTACACAAATATGAATATGATTTTATACCGAAGTATAACTAGGGAAGTACAAACTACGTATAATGAAAAAGGTATATAATCCATGATTGAATGTAATTATAACACGTATTTTCTCCGTTCTTAAATAATTATCTAATTTAAATTTTTTATGTTTTAAGTTCAAATTGAATTAAAAGTGAAAATTTAACTTGAACAATCATTTTGAGACAGAGAACGTTTTGTGTGGACAGATGCTATCATTCGGGATTAGTTTAGAGCGATATTACATTTTTTATTGGTTATGATTTACAAACTATCGTTGCAGCCTACAATAGATTCCAGTATCATTTTATCTAAACCTAGTTCAATATACCATGGGAAATGATGAAATCAAACTTGAGTAAATTTTTCTAGTTCAACTTTTTTTTTTGTTTTTTTTTTTCGGTTACTAATAAAAATTCAAATTCCACCCGCGTTAAATTTTTTCGGCTCCGGCGCCACTTATGGCTAGGTTGCTTGTGTTATAGGATGTCGGCTATAAACTATACAGCCTACAATAATTTGTTTTGACTTCAATTAAAATATTTATTATGAAAAACCCTTTTTAGACTTTGTGTTCAGTACTTCAGTTCACCTTTCCATCATTTCTACTGTACAAAAGGGCAACTTCTTAACTTTAAATTGTTTATTTTTTTACAGCTCAAATGATTAAGCCCATCAGACACAGTTTGATTTTAATGATTTGATCATGTAGAACCACATTATTGATTAATCTTCACCTGGTATGCTTTTCCGACTCATTTCTTGCTTTTTTTTTTTTTTTTGGCCAACAACTCATTTCTTGCTTTAATTATCATTATCCAAATTCTTTTACATGTATATAAACGTTGAAACCAATAAGTAAGGAGATTATTTTACAAGTGTTAATGGGTTGGTTAGGGGATTCGGAAACGGTAAGAGATGTGCGAAATTAGTCTCAATTCGATAATCGAAGAAAAATCATGTAACTTTTAAAATACAAATGATTGTCACGTTTGTTATACTAAAAATATTGAAATAAATTAAACTTGATTAGTATTGGGATTGATGGTATCATATGAGGACCGGAAAGATGATATTGAGTCTGTCACTTAGCACAAAGTTCATGGAATCATTAGTATTTTATGCGAGTTTATTAGCCATGGAGACATTACGAAAACCAAAAGCACGAATCTTTGGTTTCCTGATCATAAATTCATAATGAATATGAGTAAATCATTCTACGTAATTAAACAACTTTTTTTTTTTTTAATTCTTTGTTGCGATTTCACATTTGCTACCACCTGGAACTACGCTACACGGTAACATGTGGTATACGATAAGAGAATTCATCGAAAATTGAACAAAATCATACCAGTTGATCACCTTATTCAGTCACATATTTTGTACCCCGTCCGTCATCAAATTATTAGCCAGTTTGAATTTTCACTTTTAAATAAAAAATAAAATTCCAAACTAGACAATAATTTATTGATTTTGAGACAGAAGGAGTAACATTTTTTTATTGTGAACAAATTTACATGGGGGAGAAAAATAAAATAATGAAAGGAATAATAGTATAACAATTTTATACATCAAGATTACGAAGTTGTGTACACAATGCAAATTGATGAGATAAGAATTCAGAATTCACAAGGAAGAAGCAATTTTGGTAAACGCCGTTGACTTGGAAAACAAAATGGGGATATACCATAATAATATGCCATTTGATGCTGGTTGGTTAGTGTAGTTTGAAAGTCTGTCCATCTTTTTTGTATATAAACCGCTACAAAACCACACTTTTCTCTTCACTCTAAATCTCTTTAGTCCTTTTCTTTTTTCATGTTCTGTTAAAAAAAAAAAAGAGCAGGTATGTTCTTTTATTTTTCTCAATGAATCATGAGTTCTAGCATCATTTTCATTTATGTTAATGTTACATTCCAAACTGTACTTCTTTCATGTGTTTGTGTGTTTTTATTTTTGAGGTTCATCTGTTGACCATTCACAAAGAAAAAAGGAAAAAAAATGAGTGATGAGATGAAGCGGGTTGTCGAAAAAAGTGGTCAACTTTAGTGATATTATATGTAGGAAGTTGAGAATTTTGCATTAGTTAAACTAGTTATAGCCTAATGATCATGGCCTCAACTGAACCAGTCAGTCCTGTAATGGTGTAGATAATTACTAGTTAAAGAGACTGGATGTACTATTCCAGTCAAAGTTATGAAGTCTAATTTCAACATTGAAGCAATTTTTTTTTTTTTTTTTCATTTTTATAATTGGGAAAGTCATTCTGCAGTGTTTTGAGGTTTCAGAATCTGGTGTTTGCCCGGCCTAATGCATTTTTTGTTTGTGTTATCTGGACATTTTCAAAATCCAATGAGTTCGGAAAAAAAAAAAAAGGCGGTGATACCAAGAAAATTGGCAGGATAGCTTGCTATATATTTGCCTCTTTTTAGATACAGTTAAAAGATTCTTGCAGTTTCTGAATGGGTTAGGTGAAGAATAATAGTTGAATGTTCTGATGCATCAATTCATGTAATTCGCATAGTTGGTTGATTTTCCAAATCATACTTAGTCAGAAATGTGATGCTGTATCATTTTACTAGAAGCCTGGAATTTCCTGCTTCTTTTTGACTGGAACTAAGTTTTTGATTTTGATGGTTAGCCTACTGCACTGAAGTTTTCATTGAGATTGGTTCTACTCATGTATTTTGTTTTCTTTTTTTGGATGTTGGTTTCCTACTTTTTACAGAATTTAGGAACCGAATTTGATCTGATGTATGTTTTGTAGATCATGCTTGTTTTTCTGCAGCAACAGTTTTTTAGCTTCTGTCAATTGGAAAAGATAGAGAATCTGACTAAGTTATTCTTCTGCTAGCTGCAGCATAAAAGCACAAGAGAAGGACTGAGCAGTGAATCTTGGATATGGCTCGAGGAGAGCAGCTGGAAGTGCTTAATGCACTTGATGTCGCCAAGACGCAACTTTACCATTTCAAAGCAATTGTGATTGCTGGAATGGGATTCTTCACAGATGCATATGATCTCTTCAGTATCTCCCTCTGTACAAAGCTGCTGGGACGGATATACTACTACCATCCGAACTCCCCAAAGCCGGGTGGTCTTCCTCCTGGTCCTCAATCAGCTGTTACTGGTGTTGCCTTGGTTGGTACCTTACTAGGCCAGCTCTTTTTTGGTTGGCTTGGTGACAAGATGGGGAGAAAAAGAGTTTATGGAATGACCTTGGCTCTCATGGTGGTTTGTTCGATTGCCTCAGGTCTTTCCTTTGGAAGCAGTGCAAAAGGTGTGATTGCCACACTTTGTTTCTTCAGGTTTTGGCTTGGTTTTGGCATTGGAGGTGACTATCCACTTTCTGCAACAATCATGTCTGAGTATGCGAATAAGAAGACTCGAGGATCTTTTATCGCGGCTGTTTTCGCAATGCAAGGATTTGGGATATTGACAAGTGGAATTGTGGCTCTCATTGTTTCATCTTCTTTTAACCATGCATATCCTGCTCCACCATACCAAGACGATCGCCCTGGCTCAGTAGTTCCTGAGTATGATTACATGTGGCGTATTATATTGATGTTTGGGGCAGTTCCAGCGGGACTTACCTACTATTGGCGAATGCAGATGCCTGAAACTGCTCGCTATACCGCCCTTGTTGCAAAGAATGCTGAGCAGGCAGCCAAGGATATGGCTAGAGTGTTGAATGTTGAACTTCAGGCTGAAGCGGAAAAAGTGGAGAAATTCACTGAAAAATCAGCCAACAAGTTTGGATTGTTTTCAAGACAATTCCTTCGACGCCATGGCCTTCATCTACTGGGAACAACTACAACATGGTTCTTACTTGATATTGCATTTTACAGCCAGAATCTTTTCCAGAAGGATGTTTTGAGTTCCATTGGGTGGATTCCACCAGCTGCAACAATGAGTGCAGGCGAGGAGCTTTTCAGAATTGCCAGGGCTCAGACCTTGATAGCACTATGCAGTACTGTTCCAGGATATTGGTTTACGGTTGCATTTATCGACATAATTGGAAGATTCGCGATCCAATTGATGGGATTCTTCTTCATGACTGTTTTCATGTTTGCTCTGGCAATTCCATATCATCACTGGACACTGAAGGATCATCGCATTGGCTTCGTGGTTATGTACTCATTGACATTTTTCTTCTCAAACTTTGGGCCTAATGCAACTACATTTGTCGTGCCAGCAGAAATCTTCCCGGCTAGATTAAGGTCAACATGTCATGGTATATCTGCTGCTGCAGGGAAAGCAGGAGCTATAGTAGGGGCTTTCGGATTTCTATATGCTGCTCAAAGCAAAGATCCTGCTAAAACTGATCCTGGCTACCCAACAGGTATCGGCATCAAGAATGCGCTCATTGTCCTCGGATGTGTGAATGCATTAGGCATGATATTCACTTTCTTAGTGCCAGAACCAAAGGGAAAATCACTTGAGGAGTTGTCTGGTGAAAATGAGGACGAATATGACGATAAAGCAGATTATGCTACAGCATCTTCAAATAGAACTGCTCCAGTTTAAACTTTGCACTCTTTTGGTTGAAGTTCTTCAAGATAATGGGTAGAGGGTCTTACACAAAAAAAAAAAAAAAAAAAATTATGTTTCTTCTAAACACGTAGATATCGTCGCCTTTGTAAAGGTTTCAGAAGTTGCAATATACTTCTGTGTGAAATTCACATTGTGATTGTGCTATTAAACCTTTATTGTTCATATGTGGAAGCAAAAGTTTGATGAATCTTAGTGCAAAGAACCGTGAAAACGAACATTGAAAACTCTCACTTCCAGAAAACAACTTTGTAGTAAGTTAATTGTAGAGTTCTCTGTACCAGATGAAAAGTTGATGATGAAATGTTTGATTTTTATAATTGAAATGCAAATGTCAATGGGAAAAAAACACACACACACACCATTCTGAGCGAGTTTCTGCGTCCTGCTGAATGGCGGAAAACTTGTCCTCTGGCCACTTGTTTAGGCCACTGAGTCAGAAACACGCAAGTTTTCAACCCTTTCTTATATTAAACTTTAGCACTAAAAGTTGCCTGCAATGGATGAGACTCCAACTTCATTTAGCAGATCCATTTGATTTAGGTTGGTTTGTGAAACTGTGACTGATGTCAACAAAGGGAAACTACCTTAAAAGTACTTAGAACAGTCAGATGGAGGCAGAAGTGATGTCCTTTAAAAGGACTATCTTTTGGGACTACAAAAGTAATTACAAAGTAGACTGTCACCCTGAGGCGAAAGTCGAATTGCGAAAGATAGAAGCTTTAGAAGGGAAAACGATACACTTGTATTATGGAACACGATAAAAGAAAATCAGCATTCATAGAGTATATGAATGCATAGGTAGTAACTTAGACAAATAAGTCCAAAAATCCCACACCAAAATAACATAAAGGTATTTCCACGCAGGGAAACAGAAGAAAGGAAATGAATGGTAACAGAGGGTTTTAAATTTGAACAATGAACCAAAGAGTAGTCTGCACAATTCTTATGTAATCAAACATCAGACTAGGCCATCTCAGTCTCATCATCGGCAACGTTTTCTTGTGATGCCTCCTCAAGTGTCTTCCCTTTCGCCTCAGGCACGAAGAAAGTGCATATCATTCCTACTGCATTAATGCAGCCAAGAGCTATAAGGGAATTCTTTACACCGATGCCTGCAGGATAACCTGGATCTGTTTTGGCAGGATCTTTGTTTTGCGCTGCATAAAGGAAACCATAAGCCCCAACAATGGCTCCTGCCTTTCCTGCTGCCGCAGATATTCCATGGCATGTTGACCTGAGCCTTGCAGGGAAAATTTCAGCTGGAACGACAAATGTAGTAGCATTAGGCCCGAAATTCGCAAAGAAGAATGTCAAAGAGTACATCACCACGAATCCAATCCGGTTTTCTCTGAGAGTCCAGTGATGGTAAGGAATGGCAACTGCAAACATGAAAACTGTCATGAAGAAGAAGCCCATCAATTGGATAGCAAATCTTCCAATTATGTCAATGAAGACCACAGTAAACCAGTATCCTGGAACTGTACTGCACAAGGCAATTAAAGTTTGAGCCTTTGCAATTCTGTAAACCTCATGGACTGCATTCATTGTTTTGGCCGGTGGAATCCATCCAATGGCAGAGAAAACATCTTTTTGGAAAAGATTTTGGCTGTAAAAAGCAATGTCCAACAAGAACCATGTAGATGTGGTTCCAAACAAGTGGAGACCATGACGACGAGCGAATTCCCAAGAAAACAGGCCAAAAGTGTTCTCCTTCTTCTGAGCCAACCTCTTAATCTTTTCCTCCTCAGGATCAAGGTCAACCTGCAAAACCTTACCCATGTCACTGGCTGCTTGCTTGGCGTTTTTCGCCACTAGGGCTGTGTAACGGGCTGTTTCAGGCATCTTCATACGCCAATAGAAGGTTAAAGCAGCTGGTAAAGCTCCAAACATCAATATAATTCTCCAAACATAATCAGCTTGAGGCACAGTTGAGCCAGCAGGATCTTGCTCATAAGTTGGAGCTTTATAATGGTGATCAAAAGCTGAAGACACAATCAATGAGATGATACCACTAAACAATATTCCAAATCCTTGCATGGCAAAGACCGCAGCCACAAAAGCGCCACGAGTTTTCTTGTTTGCATATTCAGACATAATTGTGGCTGAAAGAGGGTAATCACCACCAATGCCAAATCCAAGCCAGAACCTGAAGAAACATAAGGTGGCCATTACGCCTTTCGGGCTATTCCCAAATGAAAGCCCTGAAGCAAGTGAACAAACAACCATTAGAATCAAGGTGATCCCATAAACTTTCTTCCTACCCAATTTGTCCCCAAGGAAACCAAAGAAAAGCTGGCCAGCTAAGGTTCCAACAAGGGCAACACCAGTCACAGAGGATGATACTTTTGGTGGTAATGATCCAGGCCTTGTTGAACCGGGATGATAGTAATATATACGCCCCAACAACTTTGTGACAAGGGAAATACTAAACAGATCATAAGCATCTGTGAAGAATCCCATTCCTGCAATCAAAATTGCAGTGAAATGATAAAGCTGAGTCTTCGCAACATCAAGTGCATTCAGCACTTGCAATTCTTGCCTAGCCATTATGTATAGATCTTCTTCTCCTCAGGTTTCTTAGTCTGCATTAAGGAAACCAAAAATCATGATTAATTCCAGTCTCAGATCATGTGTACATAGTTGAGAAATAAGCAATCAAATGACAACAACAATCAGAAAAAAACAAAAAGAAAAAAAAACCACACACACACACACACACACATTTTAAAATGTATTAACTACAACAAATTCATACATAGTTACTTAATACCATAAGAAACAAAACATGCATGGTGGTTTAAAATTAACATTGGTGACAAGTTCCCTAGCTACTTGCATAGTTACTCACTCGACATATACAACTTCCAATGAACTAATATACACTGCATGAATAATTTTACGCCATCGCGATAAATTTGTACACATATAATGAGTATCATTGAATGTATGAGAAACTACGAAATCAAGCTTCTCTCACGTAACAGACGTGAGATATACTTAGACATTGTAACATGCATGCGTGAAGCAGGTAGACTATATATCTATCTATCGATCTTAATTAAGACTAAGACGGATAATTAATCTTACCGGCTTCTGACGATGACAGACTGCTACTGAGCATCAGCCAATTGATCTTTGCAAATAAAATTGTATTTACTAAGCAATTAATGCGATGTTGGGGTGTTAACAAATTTATAGGGGTTCTCAAAACTGATTATAGTTGACAATTTAGTTTCTGAAAAAGGAATATAAATGGCATATTCTGGTTTTATCCAATGTCAACGCTTTCTCCAGCTTGCCTCTTCAACAATATCATATGAAATCTCCTCATCAAGTCATTTGTCAAATTGCACCATTTGAAGCTGTCTAATAAATCGGTTGGCTGTCGATATTTATTTTTTCTTAATGATTTTTTTTTTCTAAAGAGAAAGAAGGGTATATGTTCATGCATTCTACCACGTTAATAAGATCTAAACTTGTCTTTGCCATCAAATGTTGTTGTAAATAACTACCACCTTAATTAATTTATTTATAAATAATTCATAATTGTATGAGTTTAATGGATCATCTCATCATCATATACATCTCAAGTTGGTTTTGGAATCTGTAAGTTGATTTTTCTCGATGATGTATATATATATATATATTATTTTTTTCCTTAAAAAAAAGGAACCCAAGTCAGACATTTCATTTTCTTAAACAGTTGACATTTTTGTTATTTTTATTATATTTTTTAATCATTGTAGTTTGGGAAATGGGAACCAAATTGCGGAGTCGATCTCTCGCGTCATCTGATAATGACTATGTGACATTTGCCTTTCGAATGAAGAAGTAATTCCGTACTTGTTTTAATTGTACCACTCTACCTCGTTGAAATATCTTCTTATATTTATTTCAAAATATATATATATATATATCTTCTTATATATAATATGTATAGCCAATATCGATCTGATGGAATTGTAGAATGAATCTAATCTTATCAAGTACCAGAGATCGAACATTCGGAATTCTAGCATTAGCATACCACAGTCTTTAGTTGCCTGCAACCAGTGTATATACACAGAAAAATTAATAAATAAAAATATCAATTTGCCTATCATTCTATCGATAAATGATCTCTCTAAACAAGCTCCAGCTTATCGTCAACTGTCTCTTCTATTACGAAGACCGCCTGCTCGTAAAGTATAAAACAACACCAAAATTGACTTGGTTTCAAGATGTAGAATCTATGTTGAATCACCATTTGGCGGGGCTACTAGGAATGGAATGTACAATGACCAAAAGAAAAAAAAAAAAAAAAGGACACAGAAAAAACGGAAAAAGAAAAAACTCTCTGGCTCCAAAGGAGAGAAACGCTTGAAGCAATCAAATGACTCAGCCTTAATTTGTAAGCTCCATTACAAGATAAGTTATTTTAATGATCATTATCATGATGGAAAATGGTTCTTAATTTATTTCAGTTAGTCAACGCCAACATGTACTACCAAAATACCCGGCAAAACCCTAAAACAACGAGTTAATTGAATTTGAAGTTAATTTTTTTTAAAAAAAAAATACATGCAAGGAAATTTGTTAAAGAAATTTATAAGGAATGATGTGATTAAATCTTAACCATCATTTAATTTTAAATGGATAAACCCCGTAAAGGTACACCAGTATGAACAATTATGATTTTATTTTTAATTAAAATCTCTATTGAAATTTCTCTGCCCAAATTGTTATGCTTACAAAAATAGTTATGCATCTTATATCCTCTTCCTCTTAGATTTTCTTCTTTTCTTTTTCTTTTCCTTTTTTAAGGTGAGGGGCTTGACCCGAAAACTTTTATACATAGATATTACTCTACTGAAAATAGTACATCAAACTTACGATAAAATGGATAAATAAAAATTTCTTGTTTTTCTGGCCGTATGTGTTTCATACTTTTGGGGATTGCTAACTAATAAAAAAATGTGAAGATTTTACTATCTGTGATTCATGATGAAGTGCTTAATAATATGAGAAGTACAAGCCGAAGATTAGAAATAGTGGATTGTCTGTTTGTTGGGCATCAAAAGAAACAATATGTCAAGTTTTTTATTTTAACAAAACAAACTCGCTTGAGGATGAATTGATTGGGAACAATGGTTATCTAGGGAGAAGAAAAAAAAAAAAATCCAACATCGAAAAGAGGCATAAATGATGAGACTATTTAAGTGTATTTCTGTGTGCTATTGATGTATAGGTCAGTGATTTCATTCGCACTTTATGCTTCTTAGTATACTGTGATCGATCATATAGTAGAAGTTACACTTTAAAATGATAAGAATGCATAGGTTTCTTTTTTGGTTTTTTTTTTTTTTGTCTTATGTTAGTTTTGAATAATATTTATTTATGCAAAGTTTATAGTAGTTTATCCTCAATAGATGACTTAAATTTAACATTTGTCTCAAGTTATAATAGATTGGTTAACTAACATGTTGAAAAGACATATTTTGAAATTGGGATGACAAAAATATGGTTATTTTTTAGGACATGCTCAATTATATTAGATCATATGTTTGAATTTAAATGAAATATAATTATATAAACTTTAAAGGAATGTAACTTATTTATTTTTTGTTTAATTAATGTGTCAGTTAGAAAATAAAATTTTTAAATATTATGTTCAATGTATAAAAAAGATGTCCATGGGAAATTTATGTATATTATAATGTATCGGTAATTGCAAGTTCCATATACTTTCACCCTTTATTATTTTTATTTTTTTAAAAGAAAAAAACTAGCAAAGCCTAGCTCTGGACTCTCCAGTATTTTCTTTTGAGTAATGATACTGATAATGAGAAAAAATAGTGAAAATACATAGTGAATGATGTGTCTATAATAATTAAGGGTAAAAGGATAATTTTAGAGGGAAATAAAAAATTTCAACGGCAAAGTGGCAACAAAATAAGAAGTACACATTCGTCACTATGTTTTCTTACTATATTATTTTACTAAGAATATCATTTCCCTTTTCTTTTAAAAGATTTAAAACATAGTTTAGATATTTATTTTTGATATAAGACAATATGCTGGAATTTGCGGAAAGTTTGTGAATGAAAATTCAGACATATATTTTTGAGAAGTCGCGACACTATCTTAATGGTAAAAGAAATCCCAAAATCCAATATAACTTTTGTACAAAGGATGATAATGATACAAAAACACAAATTAATAATGATGCATGGAAAATCACCACATGAATACATTAAAATTAACACGGTTTATCGATTAAAATCTATATATTCATTTCCTGCACGGATTCGGAAATAGATAGTTTCTCATATTTGAGTTAGATTGCGCAAATAAGGGCAAATTATCCAGTATACCCGGGGGCACCGTGCCCCCCTCCTATTTTTTGCACGAGTAGTTCTTATTGTATTTTTCATTAATCTTTCTATGATTTGCAAGGATAGTCCCTGTCATTTTTTCTCTATCTTTCAAAAAAAAACATCTCCAATCTTTCAACGAGCATATCTCTCAATCCGTGAAGAATTTGTGAACGAATTATACATGAAAATTATAGTACTCGTCGAGATCTATTCAACAAGATCCATTTTGAATATTTTTTTTGAGTTTAAAAATGATCAAATTTCTTTGGGCAGAATTAAGTTGGATATCCAGTAAGTTAGATAACCAGTATGCACGAGTTGGATAACCAGTATGAACAAAGTGGATAACTAGTTCAAACAATTTGGATAACCATGTAAATCCATTGGATAACCAACATTAGCGCATTGGATAATCCAATACAAACCAATGATTGGATAACCAATACAAACGAGTTGGATAACCAACTTAGTTTATTATTTTTAAAAAAAATAATAAAAAAAACCAGGTTGGATAAATAATATTAATTAGTTGGATAAACAGTATTAACATAAATAATCAAGATGGATAACCAACTTATTTTACATTCATATCGTTGTGTTCCTTGTATCTAATGATTCGTAAAGAATTATAACATGAATTATATATGAAATTTATAGTACTCGATGAGATCTATCCGATAAGATCCATGTTGAATATTTTTTTTGAACTTTGAATGCATTGAAATTTTACGGGCAGAAATGAAGAAATGTGTTTTTTTGTTTTTCTTTGAAAAATGGTTATCTGTTATGTTCCTACTGATTATCCAACCAGTTTGGACTGATTATCCATTCTATTCGTACTTGTTATCCAATCATATGTTTGACATTCACTCTTCAAAAAAAAAAAAAGAAAAGATAGATAACCACCTCTATTCTGCCCGTCAGAATTAAGTCATTTTTAAGCCCGAAAAAATGTTCACTGTGGATTTCGTTGGATAGATCTCGACGAGTACTATAAATTTCATATATAATTCGTTCACAAATTCTTCACAGATTGGGAGATATGCTCGTTGAAAGATTAGAGTTGGATATGCATGAACACAGTGGATATCCAGTACAAACAAGTTGGATAATCAGCATGAACACAGTGGATAACCAGTATTAGCGCATTGGATAATCAATATGAATACATTCGATAACCAGTTCAAACAATTTGAATAACCATGTAAATCCATCGGATAACCAGTATTAGCGCATTGGATAATCAACATGAACACAGTGGATATCCAGTTGGAGAAGATGGATAACCAACTTATTTTACATTCATATTGTTGTGTTCCTTGTATCTTTTGATCCGTAAAGAATTATAACACGAATTATATATGAAATTTATAGTGCTCGACGAGATCTATCCGATGAGATCCATGTTGAATATTTTTTTGAACTTTAAATGCATTTAAACTTTACGGGCAGAAAATGAAGAAATGTGTTTTCCGTTTTTCTTTGAAAAATGGTTATCCGTTGTGTTCATGCTGATTATCCAACCGGTTTAGAGTGATTATCCATTCGGTTCGTACTTGTTATCCAATCATATGTTTGACATTCACTCTTCAAAAAAAAAAAAAGAAAGAAGATGGATAACCACCTTTATTCTGCCCATCAGAATTAAGTCATTTTTAGGCCCGAAAAGATGTTCACTGTGGATTTCGTTGGATAGATCTCGCGAGTACTATAAATTTCATATATAATTCGTTCACAAATTCTTCACGGATTGCGAGATATGCTCGTTGAAATATTAGAGTTGAATATGCGTACAAACCAAATGGATGGATATCCAGTACAAACAAGTTGGATAATCAG